AAATAGTGGCTGAGTGGCACACACTTACTTACTCAGACCAGCTGCAACAATTGAGTGTGCACAAATTGCCTGTGGTGATGTAGGCCAACAGGCAGTTGCAACAGATGGGGCCACACTTGCCCTGGTGGGATTCCCTCCCAGTGCCCAGAGAGGCAGGGGCTGGTATGTGGTGTGGGGACTGTAATGACCCTAGCCTTTGCATGCTACTTAACAATGGAGCCACGTTTCCTGGGCAGAACACACTTCCTCCAGTTGGCATTCCCAGCCTCAGATCCCCTAGCTCCTGTCCTCTCTGTTTTATCTGTGAAGCCAACAGCGATCCTCTCCCAGGATCCACTCTCTTAACCCGACACTTTAGCATTCAGCCCCTGCCAGCGCAAAGGCTCTCAGAGCTAATTCTGAATCTGGCTTTAAGAGGGGCAGTCCTCAGGACCACTGAGCCTACTTGTGTAGAAGAGGCCTTGGCTTGAGGAATGGTCAAGATGACTCAAGGGGAGCCCCTTCAATTGCCTGTGAAGGCCAAGGAAGTTGGCAGGTGGGAAAGTGGTTATGATGGCAGCCCTGCCCCTTACATGCCACTTAACAAGGACACCTAGCTTCTGTGGTGTCCCAGGCTTTATCTGCAAACTTTCCCAGCTGTAGAACTCCTTACTCCTGCCCCTCCAGGCTGTCTTTTCACAGTCAACAACTGTTCCCTCCCTGAATCTTCACTCCAAACCCCGTGTTACAGCACCCAGCCCCACTCTGCAACAGGAGACACATGATTCAGGCTAGGATGAGCAGGGCTGTGGCACAGACCATGCATGCAGCTCTTAGTCTTGCCTTTCACAGACCATCCTCTGCTTTGATCCCCTGAAGGCCCATTTCTGTCCCAGCTGATTCCCCCACTGTGATGGGCTTTTCCCCTCCATCTTCAGCTTCTTGTCAGGGTTGCTGGTCCCTGTTTTGATTCCTCTTTCTGTTTTACTTTTGCCATTTTGCCTAATTATGAGTGTATTTTTCTTGTCCTTTTAGGTTTCCAAAGACTTCCAGTAATATTCACCAAGTTTTCTGTTGAGAATTATTAAGTTTGGAGATGTATACTTGAAATATATATGTGAGGAAGGACGAGTTTAACATCCTCCTATTCTACCAACTTGACTTCTCCTCTTTATTATAATATTTAAAAACTATATGGTAGTCAGTGGAGATGCTGCTGAGCTAAAGGAAAATATTACGTCCTGACTTCTGGAACATGCATACCCGCTGACTGTTACAGAGCTTTCAAGTGTTTCCTATTTCTCTTCCTCTTCATTCTTCTCCTCTTCCTCCCTTCCTATTTATAAAACTACATTCTTGAAAAGCTTCCTGATTATTTGACCAAGACAAGTTAGTAGGTCAATTATTCCACTGATTGCAGGAAGAAATAAGAAAGATATGAAAGGACTATTACTAAATGCTTTGCCAACACCTCAGTGTATTAAATTGGACAGTTAAGATATATATTAATACATTAGGAAGTGAAGAGTAATATGGCAGGATGAGAGGTCTGAATGGTTGAAGGAGAAGTTAGAGAATAAACATTAAAAACATTTAAAGAAAGAAAGTGTGTACTTGCTCAGTCATGCCTGACTCTTTGTGACCCTGTGGACTGTACTCACCTAGCTCCTCTGTCCATGGGATTCTCCAAAACCACACTCTTTTAAAGATATAAAGCATGTTGGGATGGAGTAGAAGAAAACAAACTCATCAGATATACCCTAAGCTTGTATTTAACTATTTCAGATGTTTGGTTCTCTGATCCTCATTCCCTTCCAAAACCTACTCTCAATCCCTTGTATGTGGCGGTGTGAGTCTTAAATAGTATATTACATTCATTTCTGTTTTTATGCAATTTAAACCTGATATTTACTATTGGAATAAAAATGATGTATTTCCTGGTAAAGTAATCCTCAGCACGAGACAGCATTCTAGGGTATTGTAGGGTTATGCTGAAAGGAGACATCCTGATTCCATTAGCAGTGTTCCCACATTCTATAGTAATATAAAGCCAGCATTGTAACTTTACTCCTAAACCAGACATGATTCCTCACCAGCCACAGCCTATTATGAAAATTTTCAGTGCCCAAGAGGATAGTACAGAAAAGAGGATAGTTCAGCTCCAGGCCTGAACAGAGGAACTGTAGAAGAATTATTGAGAGCTAAATCTCTGACAAGGCATAATGAAATATTTTGCCAAGGCTGGAGAACATGCTAGGGCATTCTCTCTTGAACTTCAGTTATCCTCTAAAACTTTATTATATTGGTCATATTTACACTTCACATGTATTATGTAATATTTACATTTTTACTTTAATCACTTTACCCAATCTTCTTGAATTTTTAACTTGATTGAACATAGGAAATGATGTACATGAAATGGCAGATTAAATTTTCAAATTATAATATAATACATATTATATAATTTTTTATATGAGAGAATGACAGACACAGGGAGAAACAGGAAAGAGAGAGGATGAGAGATTGCAAACGATGGCAAATTCAAAATTTGTGGAACTGAAAACCTGTGGAAGGCCATCAGGCAAGAGGATTATCTCTTACCCAAGAAAGACTTAGACTTTTGCTCTATTCAGGCCTTCAATGGATGAAGGACTACACACCTTACAGAAGGCATCTCCTTGACCCAGACCACTGACTTATATATTAAAAAGTAAAAGTCTGTCGCTAAGCTGTGTCCGACTCTTTGTGACCCCATGAAATGTAGCCCTCTCTCTGTGGGATTCTCCAGGCAAGACTACTTCAGTGGATTTCCATTTCCTTATCCAGAGGATTTTCCTGATCCAGTGATCAAACTGGCATCTCCTGCTTGTTAGGCAGATACTTCACCAGTGAGCCACCAGGGAAGCCCTTCTCATTAAAAAAAATCCTTAGAGAAACACATGGAATTTGACCAAATATCTGGGCACCCTGTGCCAGTCAAGATGACTCATAAATTAACCATGCTTCCTTCTAGAACACTGACAAAGTATATGAAGGAAGTGACCAGGAAAGAGGTTTACTTAACATATATTCCCTGTAACCAGTATGGTAAATCTGAAAAATTGGTTTAAATTACAGTGAAATTCTTATTAATGATTGAGAAGTTGTATATGAATGGCAATTAACTTCAATGATTGAATGGCTCATAATGATTTCTTCAACTTTCATTAAAAAATAGTTGTTTTATGGCATTACTTCCCAGATTGGGCCTTTCGATATTTCAAAGGGGAAGGACTTTAGAAAATTCGGACTATGCTCTGAGCTTCCTTCATAGAGTGAAGTAGTACAAAGAGGACAGTTGGGAGAAATTATGTAGAAGTAGGTGGTATGTCATGTGGGGGAGTTATGTGCAAAAAGCTTGCTTTCTGTTGTTGGTCTAGAGTCTGGGCTGCAGCAACACCTGAATTACAGTAGATGATGCTAAACTAGTGAATTCTCTGTGACCCAAAGTGAAACAGATTTCTAAAGGCTGCAAGAATGAGCTTTGTCTTTTATCTGAGGGAGAAAAGCAGTGAAAGGAGGATCCTAGAGGGCACCACTTGACTGAACATGTCTAAGTATTATGATGGGAAGGCTGGAGAGATGATGTGCAACCTGACCTCGGTCCAGTTTAGAAAAAGAAAGGAAACTTAGATTAGCAGGTCATGGATCAAAGGGAAAAGCATTATAAGAAGGACTTGAGGTAAAGAAAAAGGTGTCACTAGATAGCCACGCTCTTTTCAGCCCAGTATGTTCAATAAAATGCAACCACTTCAAGTGGAACTAGACAGGCACTTTCATAATTCATAGAAGGTGAAAGATATCAAAGAGGAATCTTCTCCAATCAAGAAAGGGAGGCTTTGACTCCCAGTTAAAGAAGCTCCCAAATCCTCCCACTGCCATAAACCCCTGAAACAGAGAGCTTAAGACAAGGATGCTGTGCGTCATGGGAAGATAATCCAGGGAGGAGATCCTGGAGCAGGACATTTCCTCTTTCTGGAGTCCCCATCAGGCCACTTATGGATGGATTTGCATTTTGGTTGGGAAATGACTGAACCAGGCCTGTGTGGCAGCTCTGCTTCCTCCTGGGTGGGGCAGCAAGTCCCTATAAAGAGGCCCTCTGCTCTATCACTGCCATCCTCCTGCTACTCAAGTCCCGGATAGGTTTTGGAGAACCTGGTGAGTCTGATTCTTCAGTTCAGCTCTATTCTTGGGCTCTCTACTTGTGAATTAATTCTGGCTATAGCAAATTTTCTGTGTCCAAAGTTATTGTCATGACTTTAATACTCCTTAGTGGATGGGAGTTTGGAATTTGAACACAGTGTTTTACAGTATTTATTAAATTCCTGTTACAGAGTTTGAATTCCTTTCCTGAAGAGATTTAAAAAAAAATCTGTGACAAGAAGAAGCCAAGTAGAAGTATTTTTCCTTTTTCTGTATCTTTCCTGTGTCCTTCTGCTGTTATTGAAGAGTCATTTATCTTAGAGGGAGTGGGGCCTTTGTATCCTTCCTGGTGGTCTTTTGCTCTGTACACAAGTGATACTTCTGGGACCTCATGATAGATAATGATGATGAAAATTGCTTGTGAGCTTACCTAGGATTTTGGAATATGATGGCCTTTATTAAAGATGCTGTTTTCAGAAAAAAAAAGAAAAACAGAACAACATTGATTGGATTTTTGAAAAGTTGTATGTAAAAAGATTTTCTCTGAGCCAATAACACAATTTGTTAAAGAGGGAGACAGAGGCCAGAATTTCATTGAACGGGATTAAAGAGATCAAACCACATTCTTAGGGACTTCAGAGATTCTATCCTATGCTATTAAACAAACTCAGACTTTTCTCCTTGTAGCAGTTCCTTCTTGTGAACACTGTCATGTAATTTCTTTCAGATTCTGAGACTCCAGAAAGATGTCTTATCAGCAGCAGCAATGCAAGCAGCCCTGCCAGCCACCTCCAGTAGTGTGCACTCCCAAGTGCCCTGAGCCTTGCCCACCTCCAAAGTGCCCTGAGCCTTGCCCACCTCCCAAGTGCCCTGAGCCATGCCCACCTCCAAAGTGCCAGCAGAAATGCCCTCCTGTGCCACCTCCCCAACAATGCCAGCAGAAGTGCCCACCCAAAAGCAAGTAGAAGCATCAGCTTGCATTTGCATCAGGAAAGGATGAGGACAGCTGACTCACCTGGCTCCACAGCTCCACCTTCATCTTCCCTTTAAAGCCTATCATGGATATAGAAGAAGCTTCTCCATCCTTCAGCCTGCAGTATGCCTGTGGTGATACCTGACAGCCAGAGGTTTCCTTCCTGACGCTGCTGTTCTGCTCTCCTCTGGGAGGACAGCTGGGAAAGCACCACGGAGCTTCAGATGGAAGAGCAGCAGCTTTTCTCCCGGGCACCATCAGAGGATTCTCTCCCTCCCTTGGGTCTGTCTGTCACCTGGGCAGGGGTTTCTACCAGCTGGCCAACTGTTGCTTATCCTCCTCCTCACCAATAAACTACAGTTCCTTTGTGTGATGGCAAAAATGTTTTCTTTCTTTTAAAACTGCTTTTAGTAATCCCGTATCACCATCTGGTTTTGTTTTTATCCTTTGATGACAGGGATCAAGCTCTCACAATCAGCGCTGTCGAAATTTTGAGTCTTAACAAAGAATACTTCTACATAATTTCAATTCCATGTTATTTCCTTATTTATCACTTGATGGTTTGAGGATCAAAATATTTACCTCTCCAGGTTTTCATTCTCTTTAGTAAAGAGAAAGGGAAAATTGTATTTTCATTTCAAACTTCTAAGGAATCCATATTCAAGGAATGTGTATAATTTAGTTGGCGCATTGCAGACACATAAATAGCACTTGGAAGACAACAGGTCATCGTTGTCTCCATCATCACCACCATCACCACCCCTGTTACCCTCACCACCATATTTGCAGCTGACTCATCTAGCTCCACAGCTCCACCTTCATCTCTCTTCAAAGCCTGTCATGGATATAGAAGAAGCTTCTCCATCCTTCAGCCTGCAGTATGCCTGTGGGGACTCCTGACAGCCAGAGGCTTCCTTCCTGAGGCAGCTACACCACTTGCCTCTGGGAAGACAGCTGAGAAAACTCAGCACTTCAGAGGGAAGAGCAGCAGCTCTCCTCCTGGGCACCATCAGAAGATTCTCTCCCTGTCTTCTATGTCATCTGTCATGTGGGCAGGAGTTGCTACCAACTCCACAACTGTTACTTCTTCTCCACTTCCTGAATAAACTACAATTCTCTTTTGTGATGGTAACAATGTTTGTTTGTTTTTTCCTATTAAAAGCACTTATAGCGATAGCATCTTTTGTTTGGTTTTATCGCTATCCTTCTTTAATCGTAAAGTTCCAGCTCCAACAGTCAGTGTTGTCTGAATTTTGAGTAATATCAGAGATCCTTTCTGATCTTCCCTGACGGGTCAGTGGTAAAGAATCCACCTGCCAATGCAGGAGACATGGGTTCGATTCCTACTCCGGGAAGATCCCACGTTCTGTGGAGCAACTAAGCCCATGTGACACAACTATCGAGCCTGTGCTCTAGAGCCCAGAAACCGCAACTCCTGTGCCCACAAGCTGCAAACTACTGAATCCAAGCACCCTAGAGCCTGTGCTCCACAACAAGAGAAGTCAGTTCAGTGTGAAGTCCGCACACCACAATTAGATAGCAGCCCGACTCATGGCAACTAGAGCAAAGCCCATGTACCAGTGAAGACCCAGCACTGCCAAAATAAATTAATAAATAAATACACTGATTAAAAAAGAAAGAAAGCTTTTTTTAAAAAAAAAGATTATTGCTCTATAATTTAAAATCCATGTTAATTATTGCTTGGCTAATTTGAGTAAAAGGTTATTTAACTCCTCAGAATTAAAGTCCCTTTACTGAAATGGGGAAAACAGTGTTACACTGTAAAATATCTGAGGCATAAAAATTACATGATTGTGTGTACTTTAATTTGCACGTGTTGGGGCACAGAATTGCCACTGGAAAGACAGCAGATCATCATTGTCTCCATCACCACCATCAACATCATTGCCTCACCACCATGCTTGCTCCAGCAGGGAGGTGAGACAGGCATAACTAGCACAGCAACCAGGAAGATTCTTTTTTTTTTTTTTTCCATTTATTTCCACTAGTTGGAGGCTAATTACCTCACAACATTGCAGTGGTTTTTGTCATACATTGAAATCAATTAGCCATGGATTTACATGTATTCCCCATCCCAGTCCCCCCTCCCACCTCCCTCTCAACCCTATCCCTCTGGGTCTTCCCAGTGCACCAGGCCCGAGCACTTGTCTCATGCATCCAACCTGGGCTGGTGATCTGTTTCACCCTAGATATACATGTTTCAATGCTGTTCTCTTGAAACATCCCACCCTCGCCTTCTCCCACAGAGTCCACAAGTCTGTTGTATACATCTGAGTCTCTTTTTCTTTTTTTCATATAGGGTTATCGTTACCATCTTTCTAAATTCCATATATATGTGTTAGTATACTGTAATGGTCTTTATCTTTCTGGCTTACTTTGCTCTGTATAATGGGCTCCAGTTTCATCCATCTCATTAGAACTGATTCAAATGAATTCTTTTTAATGGCTGAGTAATATTCCATAGTGTATATGTACCACAGCTTCCTCATCCATTCGTCTGCTGATGGGCATCTAGGTTGCTTCCATTTCCTGCCTATTATAAACAGTGCTGCGATGAACATAGGGGTGCACGTGTCTCTTTCAGATCTGGTTTCCTAAGTGTGTATGCCTAGAAGTGGTATTGCTGGGTCATATGGCAGTTCTATTTCCAGTTTTTTAAGGAATCTCCACACTGTTTTCCATAGTGGCTGTACTAGTTTGCATTCCCACCAACAGTGTAAGAGGGTTCCCTTTTCTCCACACCCTCTCCAGCTTTTATTGCTTGTTGACTTTTGGATAGCAGCCATCCTGACTGGCGTGTAATGGTACCTCATTGTGGTTTTGATTTGCATTTCTCTAATAATGAGTGATGTTGAGCATCTTTTCATGTGTTTTTTTGCCATCCGTATGTCTTCCTTGGAGAAATGTCTGTTTAGTTCTTTGGCCCATTTTTTGATTGGGTCATTTATTTTTCTGGAATTGAGCTGCAGGAGTTGCTTGTATATTTTTTAGATTAATCCTTTGTCAGTTGCTTCGTTTGCTATTATTTTCTCCCAATCTGAGGGCTGTCTTTTCACCTTGCTTATAGTTTCCTTTGTTCTGCAAAAGCTTTTAAGTTTCATTAGGTCCCATTTGTTTATTTTTGCTTTTGTTTCTAAAATTCTGGGAGGTGGGTCATAGAGGATCCTGCTGTGATTTATGTCGGAGAGTGTTTTGCCTATGTTCTCCTCTAGGAGTTTTATAGTTTCTGGTCTTACATTTAGATCTTTAATCCATTTTGAGTTTATTTTTGTGTATGGTGTTAGAAAGTGTTCTAGTTTCATTCTTTTACAGGTGGTTGACCAGTTTTCCCAGCACCACTTGTTAAAGAGGTTGTCTTTTTTCCATTGTATATCCTTGCCTCCTTTGTCGAAGATAAGGTGACCATAGGTTCGTGGATTTATCTCTGGGCTTTCTATTCTGTTCCATTGATCTATATTTTGGTCTTTGTGCCAGTACCATACTGTCTTGATGACTGTGGCTTTGTAGTATAGTCTGAAGTCAGGCAGGTTGATTCCTCCAGTTCCATTCTTCTTTCTCAAGATTGCTTTGGCTATTCGAGGTTTTTTGTATTTCCATAAAAATTGTGAAATTATTTGTTCTAGTTCTGTGAAAAATACCGTTGGTAGTTTGATAGGGATTGCATTGAATCTGTAGATTGCTTTGGGTAGTATAGCCATTTTGACAATATTGATTCTTCCAATCCATGAACACGATATATTTCTCCATCTGTTTGTGTCCTCTTTGATTTTTTTCATCAGTGTTTTATAGTTTTCTATATATAGGTCTTCTGTTTCTTTAGGTAGATATACTCCTAAGTATTTTATTCTTTTTGTTGCAATGGTGAATGGTATCGTTTCCTTAATTTCTCTTTCTGTTTTCTCATTGTTAGTGTATAGGAATGCAAGAGATTTCTGTGTGTTAATTTTATATCCTGCAACTTTACTGTATTCGTTGATTAGCTCTAGTAATTTTCTGGTAGAGTCTTTAGGGTTTTCTATGTAGAGGATCATGTCACCTGCAAACAGAGAGAGTTTCACTTCTTCTTTTCCTATCTGGATTGCTTTTACTTCTTTTTCTGCCCTGATTGCTGTGGCCAACACTTCCAAAACTATGTTGAATAGTAGTGGTGAGAGTGGGCACCCTTGTCTTGTTCCTGATTTCAGGGGAAATGCTTTCAATTTTTCACCATTGAGGGTGATGCTTGCTGTGGGTTTGTCATATATAGCTTTTATTATGTTGAGGTATGTTCCTTCTATTCCTGCTTTCTGGAGAGTTTTAATCATAAATGGATGTTGAATTTTGTCAAAGGCTTTTTCTGCATCTATTGAGATAATCATATGGTTTTTGTCTTTCAATTTGTTAATGTGGTGTATTACATTGATTGATTGATTTGCGGATATTAAAGAATCCTTGCATTCCTGGGATAAAGCCCACTTGGTCATGATGTATGATTTTTTTAATATGTTGTTGGATTCTGTTTGCTAGAATTTTGTTAAGGATTTTTGCATTTATGTTCATCAGTGATATTGGCCTGTAGTTCTCTTTTTTTGTGGCATCTTTGTCTGGTTTTGGAATTACGGTGATGGTGGCCTCATAGAATGAGTTTGGAAGTTTACCTTCTTCTGCAATTTTCTGGAAGAGTTTGAGTAAGATAGGTGTTAGCTCTTCTCTAAATTTTTGGTAGAATTCAGCTGTGAAGCCATCTGGTCCTGGGCTTTTGTTTGCTGGAAGATTTCTGATTACAGTTTCGATTTCCTTGCTTGTGATGGGTTTGTTAAGATCTTCTATTTCTTCCTGATTCAGTTTTGGAAAGTTATACTTCTCTAAGAACTTGTCCATTTCTTCCAAGTTGTCCATTTTATTGGCATAGAGCTGCTGGTAGTAGTCTCTTATGATCCTTTGTATTTCAGTGTTGTCTGTTGTGATCTCTCCATTTTCGTTTCTAATTTT